GCCTGTTCCCAGTGTGCGCATGCGCAGAGCTGCCAGACGAAGGGAACAGCTAAAGAACAGGGGTCGACTTGGGAGTAAAGTCACAGGTGGACAGTGAATGGCCCTTCCCAGAGGGAATAAAAGAGGAGCGACAGGGGAGGTGGGCTTTTGCAGGAAACAGTTCATTCGGTCGTTAGATTCCTTTCAGGAGTGTGAATCTCAGAGGCTCTGTGCCGAGAGTCTTTCCTTGCACAGCACCTCATTTGGGAAATATTGACATGGCAGCTTTCCAAGCTAGATAAGGTCTGTGGTCATAAATCCACCTTTGAAAGACTGTTCGCCAGGCCTTTGTTGAATGTGAATGAGAGGAATCCACATTTGTTTAATAAAAGGGAGACCAGGACTCTCCTTCGTGTTTTTTGGGGAAGCCTGGGTCAGAACAGAGAGGACTTGGCGCTGGGGGTAGCCAAGTGTGGCTGTAAACTTTGTGTTAAAATTCTGCGCTGCTCAGATCCCGTAACCTGCCTTGTGCACACGACCTACTAAGAGAGTGAAGTACCACTCTCTCCAGGCATGGGCCTCGAGTAAGTACCTGATCTGGATAGAAAACAAGCAACATCCTATGTTAATCTTGCAGTTTAATGCCAGATTTTACACCCTGTTGGTCCATTTAATTTACAATCAACAGTCTATAATTGACAAGCCATTTTCTATTTACAGTCCTGGAAATTTACCTCTGCTGTTAGGTCTCGTATTACCATGTTGTTTGTGCTAGTGCATCTTTATTATTAATTGCATAATAAAAAACCACAATAGTATAAATAAGCTTTTCTGCCTGGAAAAGCCGTTGACTATTAAACAATGGGGTATAAATTTAGAAATAAAAAGTTTACTGGAGCATGAAGAATAAGTAATAAATGTTTGCCCGTAATATCTGGCAGAAGAGATAGGAAAAGGGCTATAGTAAAAACTGGAATGAAAGGAAGAAAAAAAAACACCCACTACCCCCGGGGACGGACGGACGGACACACACACACACACACACACACACACACACACACACACCTACCTCCAAGATCAAACACAATTCTGATG